TTTAGCCATTAAAATCTGGGAGGCACATGACCCTTTTAGGGACACGGTGTAACCCTGTCTCCTATTTGTCTAGCTCCATGACTGTGTCTCCTAGGTGCTACAGCAATACCGATAAAGAATAACAATAGTAGCTGAGACAATAAAAGGGATTTAAAATACTGCTGTAAAAATGTATATTATCTGCTGCGCCCTGCATCAGGGGCCTTTATCCTGCAATAGCAGGTGGTCTAATAAGTGTTTTCCATTTGCAGTGTCAATGATCACATACATATGGGTGAAATCCTGGGCCCATTGAAATCAACAGAAGCTTTTAAATTGACTCCAGCTGGGCAAGGAATTTACCCTATGTCTCTAGATCAGTTCTCTCTAATGCATTCTGATTTATTAAGGGTGGTATTTTTACCACCCGACTGGTCATTCCCGGCATAATTCCGCCAAAATCAGGGGGTCTGCTTGCGGAGTAAAGCACCACCGAACACAAACAAATAGCAAAGGTGTGATTTTAGCTTTAATCTATGCAGCACAGGCAATAATTGTGGGGAAACATGGCATGATTGCTGTAGCACGGTCTAGCCACCCCACTACAAGTCCACGTGTGACTGGGTATACACTCAAGTTGCTAGTTTGCCAGATGTGCCTATCCATGAGAGAATCACATCTCTGTGTGCACAAGAGATAGATTGCGGCTGCAGACTCTAACCCTTTCTGGGTCCCATATTCTGTGAGTAGCAATGGAGCTCTGCTAGTAAGTGCCCTTTAATATGACTCTGGCATAGAGGCAGACTCTAAGGAAGTTTACTGAAATGCAGCCGTCTTCCTCCAAGAGCAGGACCGGCAAACATACCTGGGTGGTGTGCTTCTGTCCGGTGTTGTGACAGGGCAATACTGGAGTACATCCACACTCACTATTCTGCATGTTTCGCTATGCTTGGATCAAATAAAAATCTAATAACGATTCCCTTTATTTCTTCCAGGGTTTCTTTGTGTCAGTATTTTACTGCTTCTTGAATGGCGAGGTAAGTAGCATCCTATGCTGCTGGTGCGATTAATTATCATAAAGTGTAAGCTGTTTGAGTGTCTGAAATGAAGTGCACTTGCACTGCCTTGCATTCACATCACCTTGGGTATCTAGAAGACATCTCTACTGATGTGCTTCTGACCTCTACAGCCCACTACTGAAAGCTCTTTGCTTACAGCACCTTTCTCAAGCAGAGGTTGACACCTTAATGCAACATTGACATACCTACCGATGATCATTTTTGTTCTTCACTTGAATAATTCATTGAATTTTACTCCCTGTCTGACTTCAATGCTTGTTCAGTAGATGCCTGTTTATTTAATTATGATTCAGGATCTTTTTTACAATGCATTGGCTAAGAGTCCACATACATGATGGTACATTTTGCACCCTAACTGAACAGGTCTGGCGGTCTTTCTTATCCAGGATTCTTTCTCTGAGTGGTCTGTACCAAATGCTTCAGAGGCCGAGAACAGCCTGAAGAACAAGGGGACAGCCCCTAATGAGCAATTGTGGAATAAGCTGCCCATACAGGAAGTTGCTTACTAACTCCTATCCACTAGCAGTTGATTTAGGTCCTGCAATATGAGGGTTTATAGCCCTTCTCCATTTTTTTTAATGCTGATAGGTAGAACTGAGCCTGGGACCTCGGTGCATGAACCTCTACTGCTTGTGGTAAACACCAGGGCTATGTCTCCACTACGCATTGTTGCGCAGTAAGATATGCAAATGAGGCACAGAGATGACTATCGCCGTGCCTCATTTGCATACCAGATGAGCAGCCATTTTTGCAGCACGGGCTTTTGCGCAAGAAGGAGCTGTCTACTCTGCTCCCTTTTGCGCAAAAAAACCCCTCTTGCGCAGAGCCGTTCTTCCTGAAAATAAGCAGCGGAACAGCTCTGCGCAAGAGGTATTTTTTGCGCAAGAGGGAGTAGTGTAGACAGCTCCTTCTTGCGCAAAGGCCTGTGCTGCAGCTCATTAGGTATGCAAATGAGGCACGGCAATATTTGGTTTTGACTGCCTAATGCCCTGTGGGCTTCCTAGTTGCTAAGATGTGATATAGACCAGCTTAGATAAGGACATCGACTTCCACACGGTAAAATGGCACTATGCGCCTCATTTGCATATCTTATTGCGCAACAATGCGCAGTGTAGACATAGCCCCGTTGACTCTCAGCTAGGGCTGTAGAGCAAACTCATTCTCTCTCTCTGTAAGTGAGCTAAGTGCTACTACATGGGACAGTGAACCACACCCAGTAGGCATATGGGTTACACTTACTCTGTGGATGATGTCTTTAGTTGTATTAATGTGTATTCCTTTACAGAATACAGCCAAGTTCCTGGCCTCAGTGACATCCTGTGGCAATGAGTTCCACAGATTAATTATGCATCGTACATAACAATATAGCTTTCTATGACTATGGGGCCAAATAGGACATTATTGCTGCTGTTGCACAGGGCAAATTCTCCAGGGGCCCCAATGTTCTCATCCCGCAAGTAAAGAAACAGAGGCTGAAATCTGTCCCACTGATTTAATCCAACACCTCAGACTCTCATTGATCGGTGCACTCCATTCCCACACTTTGCATGTCCCGGTAGCTTCTACTCTATGGACTTGAGTAGGAGCCTGGGGGCAGTCCTGATGGTAGTTTGTTTCAGCAGCTTAGTCAGGGGATATTTCCGTTTCCTTGGAGTGGGAGCAGGGATGGGCGATCCGGGCAGCTGCCCAAGGTGCCAACCGATGGGGGGCGCCTGATGGCAGCTGTAAGGGGCCCCCCCAGCACCGCGGCAGCCCCCCCCAACCCCACGGCAGCCCCCCCCAATCCCCACAGCGCCGACAAGCAGTGCCTTTACCCCCACAGCCGCGGGGCCCTGCACAGCCAGGCGTGGCCCGCCCCAGGCTGCGCGCCAGTAGTGATGACCAGGCCAAGCTGGGCAGTGCATGCACCGTGCGTTCTGGGGGCGGGCCCCGGGTTGCACGCCAGTGGCCGTGGCTGGGCAGCGCATGCACCGTGCGCCCCAGGGGCAGGCCTGCACATGCGCCGTGTGCCCCGGGGGTGGGCCCGTGCACCCTAGGGGGGCAGGCTCATGCCCCAGGGGCAGGCCCGCGAATACGCCATGTGCCCAGGGGCGGCGCTGTGCACCCAGGCCCGGGGTGCCAAAATGGCTCCGGCCGGCCCTGGGGGGAAGCAGTATCGCATAGACAAAGATGTAGCTTCACTTTACCAGCGTTCCAGGACGTTTTTCCACTCTATGAGCCAAAATTCACTGCTCCGGTGACACCATTCATTTCAGTGGGCTTACAGCAAAGATGGCCTGGCCCCTAGAAGCACAACTATACACTTTCCTGTATGTCTTGTTGGATGTGTATGGCCAGATCTGGCAGGTTTTCCCAGTCTGTGAATCTCCCAATAATATCTCATTAGTTCTAGGGTCCATATCCGGGTTTCTCTGCATTTGGATGTCTACTGTGTGCCTTGGTTTTGACTGCCTAATGCCCTGTGGGCTTCCTAGTTGCTAAGATGTGATATAGACCAGCTTAGATAAGGACATCGACTTCCACACGGTAAAATGGCACTATAAATAAGAAATGCGCGACATAAGGGTGACATATGCAAGCTTTTCATTTGCAACAAAGGGCTCGACGCAGAATAACTAACCTAGATATGAGCAGGAATTACAAGTATTAATACTTGCCTGGAAAAACTAGAACCTGCCACATCAGTTGCAGTGTTTTGCAATAGAGTTGCAGCATGCCTCTTTGTGAAGAGAAAGGCTTATCAGAGAGCTAACTTGCCACCTGTGCCCTGCGGGAGGGGCTTAGTTGTCCAACCAGTGTGTGATACACTTTCCCTTCACAGGCAGGCATGTCATGCATACAAACAGTACAACCCATCTCCAGTCATTTGTGCTTTCTCGCCCTTGACATCACCCAATAAAAAGGCAAATAGTCAGGCTTCTATTAACTTGAATTGAGTTCCACTGAAACTATTAAAAGGATGTCCCAGATGGGAAGAAACTACCATTCATTGTGCAGCAGAGGGCAGTTCATTAGTTGATTAAAGGATGCATCGTGCTTCAGGTAGGATCACAAATCCACTTGATGGCCTGCACTTTCTATACACCTGTGAGTGCTGAGTCTCTTCCAGTCTATTAAATTACTTAATTCTGTGCACGTCAGCTCATCCTTGATTCTTTATTTTAGTTCCTTTTTTTACTTTCCCTTCTAGATTATCATTTTTACTGCAATCAAAGATGTGCTCACTGGTGGCTCATTTGACTGATATTAATTACATCCTTCATTGGTCTTGTGATGTTGCTGCATCCACCTCTCTTTTCAGCGACCTCTGCTTTAGATCGATATTCTCTGCTGTATCTATGCTTGTTTATATAGTGAAATTGACCAGGATAATTCTTGTGGCATAAGCCAGTGGTTCCCAACCTGTGGCCCACAAACCCCTGGTGGTCCCTGACGGTACTGCAGAAGGTCCCTGGGACGTTTTAAATGTTTACTTTTATTTTTTCTTTCCTTTCTTTTTCTTTCCTTACTTTCTCTTTTCTTTTCTTTTCTTTTCTTTTCTTTTCTTTTCTTTTCTTTTCTTTTCTTTTCTTTTCTTTTCTTTTCTTTTCTTTTCTCCCACGGGGTCCGTGAAATTTTAATAGGCCTGTATTTTGTTTCAAAAAGGTTGGGAACCACTGGCGTAAGCTATTCTGCAATAGCTATACAGGAATAACTCCTCATGTGGACATTCTGTAATCTTTCCTGGAATAAAGGCTTGTCTACACTACACAGAAGATTGAAGCTGCCGCAGTCCCTCTTCTGGGATTCGAATTACCGGGTCTAATGAAGACACACTAATTTGAACAAAGAGGGTGCTCCCATTGGTGCCAGTACTCCTGCTTCTCACAAGGAGTAAGGGAAGTTGACAGGGGCATGTACTCCTGTGGACATCCTGCTTTGTGGATGGTGCCAAAACACGATTTAAGATACTTCAACTCCAGCTACATCATTAATGTAGTTAAAGTTGAGTATCCTAAATTGACTTTCCCCTTTATTGTAGACCAGGTCTTAAAGTTACTTAATTCCAGAATAAATAATACATATCCAAAACCAGAATAATTATTCTGGAATAAAATTAATGTTTTCCCCCAGAATCGTGTGTCCCTAAAGAAAGCTACACCAGAATATCTAATGCATTCAGATCTAGAGAAGCCCTAAGCCTTTTTAAAAGTCACTTTGTCCCTTGCTAATTTGAAAGCCACTTGGCTGATCTGTTTTTTCTTTCTCTGACAGATGGTTCAGTACCACATCTCAGAAGGTTGTATGTACCCATACTTGTTCAGATACTATAGTATTGGGAGCCTTATATCCAACAAACAATCCATCCGTTAGATAGCCAAGCCCACTTTTAGCAGTGACACCAAGTATGGAAAAATCATTGCTCAAGAGCTCTTGTGATGTTGTGATCTGACCTGGTCGTGGGTCCCCAGGGGATACTAATAAACTACTGACTGTCTGTAACTATTCTCAAGCTATTATGGGGTGTAGATGAAAATGACTGAAGTCCCTGGTGTGGTTGCACTCTGCCATCTGTGAAACTTGCAAGCTGGAAAGGGATTTCTCACGCTAGATGAGGTACGTCTTGGAATACAAAGCAGAATGTTGAAGTTAGTATGGTGGTCTCTGTTGAGCTCTTTCATGTATGCAGCACTGGAGCTTAGATTCTTCCCCTGAAATTGTGTCAAATTAAACATTTCATCCAAATTTAATCACTCCCAAATCCTGTCTGCTTTACAAGCCATGTATATTGCTTTGCTCCTCTAGCACTCCCCAGAGGGCCTGCAGATGCTCCTTCCTCCCCAGTAGCACTTTATGCAATTACCATATTATCTGCTTCTCTCCATGCCACAAGCTTTCCTGATAGTTTTCACAGCTCTTCTAGCTGTTTCTTCATTCCCTGGATACACATGGAAAGATCACAGAGAAATATCTCAGAG